ACCACATTAAAAAAAAACTAATCGGGAGTACATGACCTGGATCACTATTAAGTTGCTAAGAGGGTACCGCTAACTCCTGTCAAAAGTGAAAAAATGCAAACGATGAACTGCGAAGTGGACTTTTCAAACATGTCATAATTTTAACTGGTAATATTGGCCACAACATCTTTGTTAGGTCATTGTGCAAATTTTCGCGGTGCGTAGTGATTTATATGGGTATTGCAATTCTGATGTTTATGAGCAAGAGGTTCCAAAAAATTGCTTGGGGCTGTGTTTTTAGCAATTAACGTCAGGTTGATTATAGTATTTCGTATTCATAGTCCCAAAGTCAGGACGTTGAGCACAAAGCGATTGCTTTCGTTTGAATAAAGTTCTTTACTTTATTATGTTTAGGTTCAAAGTGGTAGATCGAACGTTATCTGAGCATGTTTCCATGTGTCCTTATTAATGCAACCAGTAGGGTATGAATTAATTAATTTGCAGAAGAATTCATCCAGTCATTAATAAAAGAGTATTATCAAAACTGTTCTTAATGTTGCTGTTTAAATGCTCACATTTGCATTTTTGAAACATGATTTTTACACTGGACCTCTGTACCATATTAACTAGATGCTTTTTAGTATTGTGCATCATTTTCTTATCTGCTTATCTAAGTAAAATAATCCCTAAGACAACTTTCAGGAACTCACTGTTGTAGCTGTATTTTTCGATCGCCTGATTCAGTACTTACTTTCATCTGTTTCTCTAATATTTGCATCTACGAAAGCGTTGTGTGTATTTGAAAAAAATCCTGTTTGTTTGTCAGTATATAACTCACTTTATCAGAGCATGGGAAAACCTTTGCAAATCGCAATATCATTGACGAGATTGCAGAGTAATGGTGATCAAGCTACTACCCAATCTTCAGTTTGTAGATTTTTTCCAAAATCTGTCTTATTAATCATTTCTGACATCAGTGAAAGTGTGTGAAAAATTTAAGTACCTAATAACAGTGCATCACTGCATATTACTTGTAGTGTTTTGACAGTTTTGTGATGTGTCGAAAAATATTCACACGTTTCGAATGATTTTGATCAGTTTCGCTGAAATTAAGGCTCTCATTTCGAATCGAAAATTGAAGTTCTACTGCGACAAAATTTTAATAACTTTACGACCTATTGCTCTGTTTTTGTTTTCAGAACAGTGAATATGAGGAATTTGATCACTCGCATACATATGTTGCTCACAGAACAGTCGAGCGTGTACCGTTATTAACAGATAATAATACTTATCGGGTCATTCTTCGTCGCGTTCGTTCATATTTTTATTTCATTTTTTCCATCACTTAAGAACCGCAAAAAATATGTCAGTGTCCACTTCAACCTTACCAATAAGTTTTTTGATCGTAAATTCCATAGGACTCAATTTTCCATGTGCCATATGTAGACCTGTAATTTGTATTTTTTGCATTTTATTCAACCAAATTTTAGTCGACAGTGATAAAAAAAATTGATCACTTCATGTAAATTTCTGCAGAAAAGCAAATACGACGGACTGCTAGGAAAATCATTTAATAATAATTCTCGAGTTGAATGCCCAGGATTTCGAAAAGTACCAGACTTAGAGCCTCTGAGAGGAACTCCACGTCTCAGCATTGAAGTTTGTTTTTTTCAAATCTTCTTTTGATTAATGATGAATCTGGAGCATACTTTTAGAATACATGAAACTAATGTTAGGCTGTCCAGTTCAAAAAGTTTGTAACTCTTGATTGGTAGCAAGTTATACCAGGATAAAAATCCTTACGCTCTAAAAAATATTTTTGCCTGTAATAAATGTTTATCTGCAGATGCATGAGTCCTTTTTGTAGTTTTGCACTGATGAAGTTTATCTGAAGCGACATGAAAAATATGAAAAGCAGGAAAAGATGATCAAACGACGTGACCGCATCCGCCAACGAGAAGAGCAGTACCGGTTTGTTGCTTGACTTTACTTCCTTTTGTAAACATTGCATCAAGTATGCAAAGAAGCAGACGGACATGGCTGCTTTCCTCTACTTTTCAATTGCAAAAGTTAATGAAGATATAACAATCATATTTATTCTTATAAGCAATTGCAGACTTCATCTTATGAAAGTGGAGACGCCAGATGACGTTGCCGTACCGACAATACAACGGCTTGAGGTAGTTAAGGAAAAACCCCGTCGATGCAAACGTTAGCGCATTCTGCAGATGTAATACTATCTTGAACTCAAATAAGCTGCAATCAAAATAAGATCCGAACTTGTACATGACTGACATAACTACCAGCAAATGTTTCTGAGTGTCATTCCTTACTTTATTTCTTGTTTCTGCAAGATAGCTTTAAATATAACATTACTATTATTTTTGCTATGTTCGTCCTTTTTTCTTTTATTCAAATTATTCATATCGTTGTCAATTTGTATACTTGCACATCTTTGCTACTACTGCTAACTCCTAAATGTGAAAAAAACGATATATAGTAACTATTCACGCATATTATACATGCAAAACTTTATTTCTCCGCATTGTAAAAAAATTCTCCAAAGCACTTTTATCAGGTGGATATCTTGAAGCACAACACGGAGGGAATCGCTAAATGCAGTTTTTTATTCCACAGAATACTCTTTTGTTGTATGTGCGTGTTTAGCATATCTCCATATGAAATGGGTTGATTTATAGTTGATGTAAGAATCCATAAAAATATGAGACTACTCAACACAAGAGTCTTTTATTAGTAAATCAGTACAACTGAGTAAACCCATGGATGACTGATTGACGAAAGGTGTACAAATGTGACGCCTAATTTGTATTTCTGAGGAACAAGTAATGATACAAGAATTACCTGAACAGAGGATTTCTTCTGAAGCCACTTTCATTAAATTATTCTACCAAACAGATTTGGTAGCTGAAATTTCACTTTAAGCATCATAGCAAGCTAGCAATAACGCTCACCTTTATTCTCTTCATATAAAATTTTCTCTCTTCAAACCAAAAACGCCAAACCCAGAGATCTTCTGTTTTTTCTTATCTTCATTCTTCATCAACTGAATTATGTGTTCTTCATCTCATTTCCTTCATTTATTCACTCAAGCGTTTCTGGCTTGCAGCGAACTGCAAAGAAATTTTTTTTGCAGAGTTTGAAATATTTATCTCAAGGTCACAATTCAGTGGGTCATAAAACGTCAAAAACAATGGAACGCGAACAATGTGAATCATAAGGAAAAGTTTCATAAAAAGATATTTGGCTTTCAAATAAATGAGACACGAATAATTAGTAATAATCCCTGTCACGGTCGTATGATCGCGAACGCCTTCGATGACGGTCATCATAGTAGCGCGGTGATGAAGTGCGTCTGTAACGATCTCGATATGGTGGGGAATAACGGTCATAATCATCGTAGTCGTAATTTCTGAAAAATGATTGGTCCATTAGATCCAGTGAAAGATGCTGACGAACTAGAACCTAATGATATAAGCGCTGCTGGTGAACTTTATAAGAGTAAAAAGCATTATTTTCCAAGACCAAAAGACTGCGAACAACAATAAAATTAATATTTTACTTCGCTAGCATCTTCATAAATTTCATCGTTTTATCATTTTACCTCCCATAATATCTGCTTGGCGGACTATCACGATATCGCCTGTAACTGCGATATGGAGATGGACTACGACGATATGAACGGGGAGGCAGACCGCGTCGACGAGAGTCTATAGCACCCATGTAAATGCCAGGCGTTGGAGTATGGGGTCGTTTTGTTATTGAGTAGTCAATGCGAATTTTGTGACCATCAATTTCTGTCCCAGCCACTCGCTCTTTAGCTTCCATAGCATCTTCAATTTTTTTAAAGTATACAAAACCGAAACCACGTGACCGTCCTGTTGGATGATCGAAAACAAGTTGAACATTCTCCAAATCTCCATATTGCAAAAATAAATCCTGTAAAAATACATGGATAACAAAATCAGGAACGTTATTCACATTTCAACAACTCTCATTCATGACTTTCATATTTTGCTTGAAGTTTAAGTCAGACTGGTGCTATGTGCGAAAGATGAACTATTAAAATGCTTTTTTTTGCAAGAAAATACAATGAAAACTTGTAAGCACAAACTTTTAAATCACGTTCCGTTGTATACAAAGACAGGCCAAAAACACCGAGACATCGCGATGGTTCAGGTTCATCACGTCGTGAATACGCATATCTACGTTCTTCATAACTGTCGCGTCGATATCGCGGAGAACGAGAACGATCACTCGATCTACATGAAAAATAAATATTATCGATGACATTCCAAACATCAAAATAAGAGTGACTACGAAGCGTAATAGTAAAGAAATGTTTCATCTCATGTTTCTTCTATTACTATTGAGATCTAAATATTTAGTTCTCATACTCAATGAGCATAAAAAATAAAGTGATGCAACTGACTGAGTTTCTTAAGAATTTAAAATTATATCACCAAATAATTTTAAAATAGTACAGAGCAACTACAAGTAATTTTCCACGAATGAAGATGAAAATAACTAAAACGAATTTAAAGTACCTCGAACGACTTCTCGATCGACTACGAGAACGCGAACTCGAATGTCTTCGATAACTGAAAACAGAAATGAGTCCGATAAATGGATAGTAAACATTTCAAAAAAAAAATTTTAACCAATGCTACCACTACATTACAAACGAACATCCGTGAATCACATTGTAAAAAATGTACCGAGAACGAGATCTGGATTTTTCTGATCTCGACCTGGAACGAGAACCTTCATTACTTCTTTCTACAACATCATCACTTTTACGACCCTGCAATCTTTGATTTTTAACGATAAACTGACCTTTGTAGAATACTTGCATCATAAAAATTAGTACAGTGTTTTCATGAAGTAAGCTAACAAATAAATTCATATCCGTAATAAACAGTAAGAAACCCAAGTTATAAGCAAGATCCGTCACCTACAAGTTTTTTAATTCCGCAGAATCAAATAAATTGCTTATTATAAGCAGCAGAACATATATACAGTACTAAATCTATCAAAAAATAACTGAACAATGTCCCGACACTATGAAATGTTAAAGTACTTATTGATGCTCTTTCATTCAAAGAGAACTTCCAAATGCCAAGCTAAAATTCTTACCAAGAAAATACATATTATATAAAAATTACGTACAGTTCTCTATGGTAAACAAGGGAAATGCGCTTACTTCACTTGATCTTTCTCCATTACGTCTGTTTTCAGGCGACTTGCTTCCCTCCTTCCACATGTGACTCTGCAAAAAGTCAGTTACATAATAAATATGACCCTTCAGTTGCCAGTTAAAGAAAGTAACAGAAAAAATAATGATGAAATATGCAAATAGAAGAGAAACCCGCAGTGAAACAGATAAATGGTATACTGCAAAAATCTGAGTACTTTTATTACGATTCTCTTTAAGTAAATAACCAAGAAAAAGTTGCATTATAAGGCAATGAAACCAAGAACAAAAAATCAGAGATCTTGCTCTTGTTATTAGAAAAATTTTCTTAACAATGAACAAAGAAAGAGCACAACTAAGTTCAAACACTCTTACTAACATTTGTATTAGAATGTCAAGTTTTTGATGCATACTTTGACATATCAATAAAGATTCTCTTTTACATTTTTTGAAAAATATCTTTAGACTTATCACACATTTCAGGAATAGTCAGAGATGAGAATATATTTTCAGCGTGCTTTCTTCTTTTTCTTCTGATTCTTTAGTGATAACTTCTTCAACGCTAACAAAGGAGCTAGTTTATCAAAGTCCTCTTTGGAATTTTTTATTGTTTTCATTTCTTCCTTGAGCTGCCTATAGTTAATGTAATCATTTTTAGCCGGCCGTGCTCCTAGTTTGATGGCTAAACGAGCTCTAGCCTTACTGCGTTCTACTGCATCATCGCACTCATCAGCAGCAAACTTTTCTACCTTAAATCATTATGCTATGAGATCGTAACGTTATACAAATTATAATGCTGTTGTTAATGAAGCTAACCAGTGAACAAAAGTGTATGAAGTCATAAAAGCTTTCTGTATACTTTGAAGTAATTTTTAGACTATACCAAAAGCTCTAACTTCAAATGATTCCAAAATATTATTGGCACTCTCATAATCAAAAACCAAAGTTTACAGGTGAATTTTTCTGGAGTATGAAATGAAGAAAAACTTACATCGAATTTAACTTTCTTTAGCGAAATAATCCCTGAAGAGACTTCTTCTTTATTTGGGATTTGTTCTGTTATTCTTTTCTTCAATTTTTGTTCATCCATCTTCAATTTTTCTGACGGTTTGAACGAAGAACACGGAACTACCTGAACTTGTGAAATATACAATGCAATGCACACTCCTAATAAATACGAAATGTGATTTTATTAATCAATTTTTAATCTTATAATGCAGCAATTTACTGATTTGAAGAATATTTGAGCGTAAATTTCGCAAACACGCAACTAAGAATAGAAATTCAAGATAGAAAGAAATAATAAAAATAAAGATGTAGCATGAATGATGATGTACCTCAACTACTTGATCTGCGTTTCGTCTTCGTTCTGAAAAGACTTTTGAATAATAGTACGGGTCAAATTCCCCGATCAGCTCATCCAAAGTTTCAGTTATGTTCTCAAAAGGATCAACCATACCAGGTATCTTCCAGTCAATTATTGTCGCCTCGTTACCATCCCATTTCAAATTGTCCAACATATCTTAACCAGAGAGAAGAATTAAGGCATACAACCAACCATCGCAGTGAAACTGAACAATCAATTAAATCATAACCACCGATACTTAAATACAGCCACCCCCGTCTCAGACAATCAGTCACCGATATTTCAATAATAATTATCGACATCTCAAAGAATGGGCTGAAGTAATTGCATGATAACGTTGCAACTCCGTTGCATGCTACGCACAATAGTGTATGCATTTATCGATTAGGTGCTGATTTAGTTCCACTTATTTTGGGTCCAGTTGTGCCGTCATCGCCAAGTGTAGAGAGGAAGACATCATTGGCGTAAACAGCGTGGGTGTGATACGGATTTGACGCGGTGTACCGAACGTTTACGGAAGTATCAGTCGTGTTGAACTTGAGACATTGACTAGAGATACAGAAAGTGGACGAATACTCGATACTTCGTTTCATGTACTATTTTTGTTGGTAAAAGTTTAAATCATTATTTTAATTATGTATGTGTCTTACTCATTTTGTTTTTTAATCCAGGAATTATATATTCTTTGTTACGAAGATTTAAAATATTTCACCAAGAAATAATTGTTGAAAAGCTGTTAGTTAGCTCGTCGTATATGTATAACATATTTCTTTATGCAAATACAAATGATCCGAAGTTATGCAAATTTAAGTTAATATATATTTTTAACGTTCATTTTTCAAAAAATTATCCTTTACACGCACTGGTGCTGTGTATTCTAGTGAGAATTTTAATGAAGAAGCGAAAACTAAAAGAGAAGTAATTTCTGATCATTCATAGTATATGCAAGTTTTTTCAACTTTACTCGCATAATGATCAAGGCATGTATTGAATCAAGACTTCGAAGTGTAAGATTAGTAACAGTAAAGTCTTGCATTATCATGTGCGTGATTTGTTGCTTGTTATATATTTTATTTTCTAATTGCTTTGTCAAAAAATTGGTTAATGGTCGTTGTGCGTGTCTATTTCAATCTGTGTGTTTTATGGTACTAACAGTGCTAGAATCCTGAAGTGTAGTTTTCTATTTCTGTTGGTACTTCATGAGATGAGATAGCCTTAATTGTAGCAATGCATTTCTATTTCATTTATTTTTACGTCGTACTAAACCTGTGGCAGTTTTTTAATGTAGTATTATATGTCTTTTGTCGCACTATTGATAAGTACTTGAAATTTTGGCATTGCAAGGTTTTGTGCGAATTAAGGTTACGAATATGGCAGATGAATCTTTCTGTAGAATAAGGTTTTTGAGTTCGACAAAAGCTTAAAGTCTAAAAGCAAAAAAATCTTTTAGATGCCATATAAAATGAAGCTGGATGTGCTTTTTTTTAAAATCAAACAGTCTCTAGTCTATTCATCTACAGCTGTGTTAGAAGAAATATTTTGATTTGAGTTTATTGTGTCATTGGAGCAAAATCATGCCAAATAGATATAAGCTCTTTCATACAGTCGATTTTTAATCCAAAGAAGTTCGACTGCCAAATGTCAAATTCGCCTATGTAATGCCTTATGTAGAGGGTATTTCGTTTGATTTTGCGTTAATCGACGGTTACTTTGGCTTATAAGGTTTTGAGTACATCTGTCGTTGGTTACTTATCGAAATTCAAACACTTGAGAGTTTTGGATTCTTCAGGTTGCAAAAATTAAGATACTCAGTAGGGCACTCAAAGAGTTCATGATTGGGGCATATCGAATGTACCTTCCATTAGGATATATAGTGGAAATACCTGAATAGTGAAGTTCTGGTAATCTTGCGGTACTTCTCACTTGTGGTCTGTTCTTTGTGTTCACTAGGTAAAGCCTCACGAGGGAGTTGAGCGTCTACTATGGTTTGCATTAATTTTTGTAGGTAATTTGTGATGACACCATATGTTGATGGGATTTCACAGCGTGGAAATCGTTATGCTGAAGGTGTTTTGTTTACGAGTCTATATATACAGGGACAATTTGATATTTTTACTAGCAGTAAGGCGTATGGACAAGGCTGGGTACTTTGCTTAAGTAATTGTGTTGCATTCATTTTACTGCATTGTGCGCGAGAGAATAAGTTTATTTCGGCTAGTGTAGGAAATTAGTATGAGGAGGTGAAGACTCATGCAGAGTCTTATAAAGTGCTTGTAATCGCTCGTATTTTTCATTCTAGCATTTTCTTGGCTGGTCGTTGGTTAGTGCGTTAGCTGATAGTTTAAATTCGGTAATAAGTGCTTCAGGAATTTTAGGTGTAACCAACAGAATCAAGGCGTTCATCGACAGTGATGGCGAAAAATGCAGAAGAAGCTGCCTTGGAATACAGGTTGCTTTTCCGGATTTGTCTTTCTGAAGTTAGGGCAGGTTCTTGACACCATCTCAGATAACAAGTATCTTTTTATGAATTTTCGTTATGTGAAGCAATTTGTAATTCTCGCTTCTATTTCAAATTGTTTGAAGGCAAGCTTTGGATGATTTGAAAGACAACAACAAGATGCAGATTAATTTGATGACTATTCTTGCTGATGACTACAATTCGTTTTCTAGAGATATAGTCTGTGTCATTGCTCAACAGATTATGAAGGTAAATGTAACATATCGCTTATAAATCTTACGACTGTCGCTAAATATTTGCGTTAAAATAAGAGTAGTTGAGTAAAATCCAGTCATGATGAACAATACGATGAATTTCATCCCCAAAAAGTACAGAAATACCTAGTCGTGAAATTTTTTTAATAATACTAATAAATAATCATTTCACAATGACCGAACGCTTCATTAGTTCTGAAATTGGAATTACTTCTTTAACTCTAGCTGGTAAAGTATCGCATCGCACTTTAATCACTTTATGATTTGATTAGTCATAAGTTTATTGTAGCTCCTACTCATTATAGGTCATACCGTCCCAAAAATTGGCTGTTATGTATGTTATGGATTCAATATTAAAAAACGTAACTGGCGCTGGTAACTACAAGGATCATATTGAGAAAATTGTTTATAAAGTCTTTCTGCATGTTTTTGAAACGGTAAGGTTTTCATTATTTAATCCAGAATCTGATTTTTCCGATAGAAAATAATGAATATGAAAATTTTGTTTATAGGGTGACGAAAGAACACGTCTGGCTTTACACAAACTCAGGCAAACATGGACAGGAATATTTCAAAGGTCGACGTTGTACAAAATAGATTTGGCTGTTAACGCCATTGATCCAGCTTGGCCGATTGTTACACCACAGCCAGTTCACACTGGTGCTGCTTCTGGAAATAGACCACAAGCAGCTCCTGCAGCGTCACATAATCGAACATCCGCAAAAGTTCACGTGAATCCACATTTTTTGCAGAAAAATTCTACTGCTACTGCTACTACTACCACTACTGCTATCACTACTACTACTACTTCCAGTGCTACTGTTGACAACAAATTGGTACACGATTTAATAATAATAATACATTGTTTATCGTTGAAACGAAATAATTTCATGTATTGTCAGTATTATAGTTTTATAGTATTATAGTTTTATCATATCCAAACGTCTGTGGAAATCAATTTTTTACTTTAAAATAAATGTTATGACGGGTGTTTCATACATCTCAATTGTTACCCACTATCCCCATGCAGTTTTCGGACGGAATTGGTACGCATTGTTTACAACCGCCATCAATCGCCATCTTTTTGCAAAGGGTTTTCTTCTGGCTTGTGAATTTGATACATCTTATTCTAGATGATGATTTATGATACTAGTTTTTCGTTCAAGTTCAATGTATTTATTTGGTAGTAGTTGTCCGGTGTCTTGCAGCATCTTCCATCATCTCTGATCTGATTGGTGTCAAATAACTTTTTGGGAGCTACATTTCTGAGAGAGACTCTCACTAGCATTATCGTTCTGATTACTCGTTCTCAAAAAGTGTTAAGCTTTTGTATCAATGATTGCCGGGTGTAATTATATATATGGATGTTGCAAAAGCATTCAAGATAACGTGAGAGGCAGAAGAAGGCAGCAGAAGAGGTACAGTTTTTTTTCATGATATTCCTAATAAATTTGTTTCAGCAAATGAACAGTGAAAAGAAAAAAGTAGGTTTGGATCCGAGACTGGCAAAACATTCCGATAGATCAGTTGCTAGACCTCCACAATTGCTAACATCTGTATCAGATAAAGTGGTCATTAAACAAGAACCAATGTAAGCTGTTTCTAGATTTATTATTGTGTAGCTAGCTGGTGAGCAAAGCGATGCATGGTAGATAATTTGAATGTAATTTATATCTGTAATTACTGATGTCCTGTTCAGACTAGATAATGGAAGGTGGTGTAATATTATTTTGTAGGCAGACTTTTGGTGCATAAATAATGTTTTGAGCAAGATGTACGAAAAAAAAACTTTGTCATTCGGCTTTTATGCAAAATACAATTTTAGATATACGAAGCCACTTTTCAGAATAAATAGTGTATTTTTAGAAATAAAATAGTCGTTCTGCTTTCTTTTATGTGGCAACTATTTTATTTTTTGCTTTTGCAGTGATGGATGTGATGTAGACGAAAGAATAACTATGAAACAGCCGAATAGCTTAGTGGAAAATTCAGCTGTTCGCAACTTTGGACGCAGGTAACTTAAAAGTTTTTTAAGATCATAGTAATCAGGAAAATTAATAAAAGCTAAACGCGCTGGAGATAACAAAGAGAAACTTGAAATGTTAGAGCAAACAAAGTAAAAGTTTTTGCTAAGAAATTGCTATCTGTTTCAGCTGTATTCAGCAGTATGTATTATCAGTTTATATTTTATATAAAAAATTTTTGATGCTAGATAAGCAAAGGAACGAAATCTTTGAATTCTAAAATTTGGAATGTGAGTTAAAATGCCTTCTTGGGTGGATTTAATAAGAATCATCTTTGCGGTTTTTATCAACTGTTCTGTATATATGTTAAAGGTAATTTAAGACTTTGTAAACCAGCACTAGTTTATTCAGTGTTTTTGTGTCTTGAGGATTAAAATAATGTGAAATTTCAATGCTTTTTTCTTGTAAAAATGTTGGCGAATCATTGCAGGAAGGATCAAGAGAGTAGCAGGCATTCGCCAGTTGAAATGAAACGCAAGTCACCACCGTGCGTTTCTGATTTAGAGACGATAGAAAAAAAGCCGCGTATGCGTACTCCACCTCAGGATCGAGATCGTCGTACCAATTCACCTTTGACATCAATAATACGACCAACCAATGATCTTGGTTCGCATGCTTTTGTGACAAGCGCGCGACGGGCTCAGGCAGCTTCTAGTACAAACAATATCACTGCACCTCCTGCTTCTTTGATTGCTCCAGTGTCTGGACCAGTGATTCTTCCAGCTATTCCATCTACCTCAGGACCATTACCATTCCTACCCCCCATCATAGCGAATGTACCTTTATCTGTTCCAGTTCCCAATTTGGCTTCAGTCCTTGCAACATCGAGGATGATGCCAATATCTGGAAATGTGCACGAAATAGCACGGACTGATGCAAATCATGTACCGCCTGTCATCAATAATGAAACTCCAAAATTGGAAGGCATTCCTGCTAATAATAGGATTTTTGTGGATGGTCGAGCCTATGAAGTTTCGTACATCAATGACGTCCCGGTTATCGAACGAAATGGATTACCACACAGGTTTGTTGTTACAAGTGTATTTTGAGTTTTAATTTAAAATACAAGTTTGAACAACGTGATTTTGTCTCAAGAATTTTCAGATATGCATTTTGTTTCAGAATATATTTTACGGGCGTTCCACGCAATGTTATTATTGATGGGATCGCACATCAGCTCGCATTTGGAGAAGAAAAGAGAGTGATAATAGATGGAGAAGAGCATGTTCTGAGGTAAAACCTATTTCATAATAGCGCATCTCTTTGTTTGTTTTTGTATATTGGTTCTTTGCAAGTTATGAATATCATTCTGCATTTCATAAGCAACATCTGAAAACTACACTATCATCTATTTGTTATGATTCATTCCTTGCTGCTTGTCTTTAATTCACGAACTAAACATATTTTCACTACTCTCTAAGAGTATCAGGTTTTAGAACAAATAATTAGCATTTATAATATTTTATAGGTTCGGAGCACCTTCACGTGAACTCTACATGGGGACTTATCCTTTCAAAGGTGCATTTGGTGGCCCACCAATCTTTGCTACGATTAATGGTGTCCGGCATGAAATAAGGTATGTTGACTGACATGAAACAAAATTGTCACAGTGAGCAATATCTTGAACTAAATCTATCATTTAGATTGGGTGGACCACCACCAGAAGTGAAAATTGAACCTGATCCTTGTTACGAACTTCTACGTTATATGCCTCGTTCAGGAACTGATGGATCTAACAAAATTATTACAGGTAATTTTTGTCAACAAGTTTATTTTTAGAAAAATTTTTTTTCTTTCAAGTACGCTCTATTTAGCTCCTTTTTACATTTAGACCTTGTTGCAATTGTATGCAATACAATTTAGTTTTCATTTTTAGCTACTAGTGGAAATGAACCTCAGCCAACAGTTGATGTTAAAGGGCTGCTTGCCAAACTGCAACGTACTGGCATCCTTTCAGCATTAAATGCTCATAACAGAAGAAATGAACCTAATGAGGATTCACCTAATCGACCTGCAACACCGCCGATCCCTTCGGAGCATCGTGGTGAAGTAACTGAAAGACTTCCTAAGCCACCAACAGATCTAAAATCTTTCTCCATGCGTGCTCTCAGGATGTTAGTTTTGGGAATTAAATCTGGTCTTTCGTTATTGCAAATATGATTTGTTCATAAATTCAAAGCTTTATTTCCATTCAGTGGAACGAGACTTAAATCATTAAATATATGTGAGTTGTGTGAATTGTTCACGGTTTCCAGACGATATACATCCGTTGTGGAAAGTTTGCATCAGAAGAGGCGTCTTTGTCCCAACTGCGGTTTACGATTTAGTGAATTAAAAGGAGAAAAATACCAGCAACATCTTGATTGGCATTTTCGAGAAAATCTACGAACTAATGAAAGTTCTCGTTGTCGAGATTGGTATTTACCTGCTGATGTAGGTTTCGTTCACTTAAGTTTTCGAATGTTCAGTCATATTCTTATATTAACTTGATAGCACTGGAAGTTTTTTTCAAGTTAATATATAATTCATTTAATGCATTCAGCCATCTATTAACAATAAATTCTAGCGGAAATAGCAACAATGCTTCTGTTTACATTTATTGACAATATTAGTAATGTTTTAGGAATGGTATGAATTTAGCGAACAGGAAAGGTTGACAGCATCTACTTCGGCAGGTCGTTCCTCTGGTAAATCGTTTCTATCTTAATGACATAAGTAATTGAGATTCTCTATCTGAATAAAAAACCTTCAAAATCATTTTCTTGCAGCCGGGAGAGTCGATGATGCTACAAAAGACAACGTTAGTGGAATATACAGTCTGCCTTCTGATTCTGTTCCATCCAAGGTGATTTTGATTAATCGCGCGTATAGTTTTTGATTAATCGTGCATAAAATAGCATCTGCAATTTTAGGAATGTGGTGTATGTAAAGAGAAATTCGAAGAATATTGGGATGAAGATGACGATGTCTGGAAACTTCGAGACTGCATGCTTGGGCAAGAAGGCAGAGTAAGAATTCTATTTCAATCTTTATTTGCAAGATCCAGCTTTGTACTATGTTAAAAACAGCTTAGTAGAAAGAAACCCAGCTCTATTTATTCTCTCTTGCAGATATTTCACCCAGGTTGTATACTGGATGCCTCGGCCATCCGGAATCCACCAGATGATAGTCCGAGTGAAGAAGAACAAAGTGATAAGTTGTCGTTTCTGAAATCTATGAAATTAAAAAATGATCTTTCTACTGTTGACAGTTGATTTGTTTACACACACATATGTACAGAACATTACACAGTCACACACCTATTTGTCGAGTATAATACAGAAATTATGCTGGGAAGGTCTCTTCCAAGGTTGAAGGTTTGGTACTTTACTATTTCATTTCTGTGTACGATTGGTCGCCGAGGAAAAATAAATAATTTTAACTTCTTGTGTTTGTTTCGCATTTAAACTGTGGTTAACAAAAATTTTTCGCTCATTTAGTCTACGCTGGATTTGTTAGTTATTGTGTGTCTGAATTCTTGGAATTTGATATTGAAAAATAAAAGCATATTTGACATGTTGAAAAAAAGCATAGAATGGTGGGTTTTCCTTAGTTATCTGCAATTCTTTTGCAAGTTGTGTTGATGTTGGGTTACCTGGGGTTTCGAACTGAAAGTCTTGGATTTGGATGTTGGGATCTGAGGCGTGGGATGGTGGGAAAGATGCTGTGCTTCTATCTGACAGTCTCTGTAAAGTATTTGGTTCGAGGAATGAAAATTGTAGTGTTTCGCACTTCCCAGTTTGTAAAGAGTGGTGGGTTACTAAATATAGAGCACTTTACTTTGTATACTGCTTGCATTATAGATGAGTTGTCTGTCGATTGTAGTGGATTGTGATGCTCGTCACTGGGGTGAAGTTGTAGAGAGAGAACATGACGAAACGGTGATTCCCTCATTAATTCAAGCCATCGTATCGCATACAACTGCTCATATGTCATTGTCTGCTGCAAATCGCTTCATTGTAATCGGCGTAGATGAAACTCTTGTAGAACCAAACATTTATGCTTCGCACATGTCAGCTGATGTCAGTTATTTTTTTTTCGAACGACTTTAATTGCAGAAATATTTCTGGATCTCAAACTAAAATAGCAGTTATTTTTAATAGCCGACTTTTTTATCAATTAATTTGTTTAAAGTTAATCTTTATAAAAAAGTTATTATAAAGGTAAGAACAATATAAGCAACTTTTGAAGTACTGGAAAAAAACTCGAAGTACTAAAGAAGCATGTTCTCATATTAATTTTCATCAATTTTTTGATGTGTCAGTCTCATTTAGATAGATATGAGTTCTAATTTGAGAGCAGCGCTGCGAAATGTACTCAAAAAATCGGCTTGTTTGACAACTGCAACGGAATCATCCCTATTTGCACCTGCTTTTGCTCTTGCTATTTGTCGTTAGTTTTAAATTTGTTTTTAATTTGATTTCATATTTTATTATCTGACAGTATCTGTACCATTATATGATTCCAGCTGTAATTAATTAATTTCTCCGTTTCATATACTTTGCACTGTATTGTCACAGTTATAGTTATAGAATTCAGCAAGAGCAAAAACAGTAATTGTGACTATTTTTCTGCATACACTTATCCACACAAGTCTATAACGTTCCTGAAAATAAGGTTTCAGACATCCATCGTTATAAAAGTGATATGGAGGGTGGAGATGGGCGCATTCTCGTTATAAATATCGGCAGTGATCTTTTTGGAGAACAACACATTCTAATGAATATATTTTTTGCTGCTCATAAACATGGAATTCTTATTGATGTTGCCAACATCGGTTAGTCTTCTTTTTCTTCTTTTTTTTAAACTGTGCGATGTGCGATAGCAATTCTTTACATCAATTAGTAATCAATTTATCATACCGAACTGTTATAACTCGAGACACTGTCATGTAATTTGATCCAGAATCTTTTGAAACTGGAAGTTAATAAAACAACAGTTTTCTCCATTGTATTAAATCTGATTGAAAACTGATCTTAACGATGACTTCCATTATCTCAAAAATTTATACTGTCAAAATTTGCTATGTTCTGCAGGTAGAACAGCACCAATTTTGCAACAAGCGAGCGATATTACTGGAGGAACATATTTTAATGTTAAAAAACCGAAACAACTTTTCCAGTACACAACTGTGGGTATCTTAATTAATTTTGTAAACATATTACATTTTATTTCTGTTAAAAGAATGCTTCCTATTAAGAAAAAAGTTCACCATTCCAGTACTTCACTTTGATGCAACTGTAAACGCAGTGAAAGTAACGAAAAACGTTTTATTTCTGGAGAGAAATCAATCATTTCTCTGAATATCTGCTGAATTTGAAGTTTAAATATCAAAATTGTTTTTAAAAGTGTAAATTACAGTGTTTTGCATTTGGGAATTCATTACTGCGTTCTGCATTTCCACCCGTATCACTGACGGCAGTTGATTACCGAGCTAGTTGTCAGTGTCATGGTACTCCAGTAAGTATAGGCTGGGTGTGTTCAGTATGCCTTTCAGTGCATTGTCATTTCATTCCAATTTGTCCATCATGCAAGTAAGTTAAGACATGACCGTTTCAGTTGATCAAAAACAGTTTTCACGGTCAAAAATGGATAGATTGAGAAGTCTAAATCTATTTACTAAGCTAATACTACACGTGCCTATGATGAAAGATTATTATTCGTAAGATAAATGTGATTTATGTTATAATAGGTGCAGCACATATACATCACGTGACTTATATATATAAACATTTTTGATTTAGAGTAAAAGGATGGACTCATGAAAGTAATAATAAAGTATAATAAATTTTAGCACGGCATTTAAAATTTCAATGCTGCCTCGAAGAACTCGAAAGAAGCGTCGAGAAACTGAAAGGGAACTTGTATCGTAATGATCGTCCACTGTAAGACCCACTCTGGGACATTTCGTCTTCAAAAACATACAGGAAACAACAAAGCATGAAGAGTCAAATAAACAAGAGTAAAGTGAGGATAATTAGGCAGCAAATTCTTAAGGCATTCTAGACCAAGAACTTTGAATGGATAGTGAGCATGAAATGTAACTGTAAACAGGATCTCCAGTTTTATATTAGTGTGATTTCTGTGTATAAAGTATAAGACCTTCTTCGTAATTGTAATTACGCTCAGTATTAAAACATTCATTATGAGATTGTATCACAAATTCGATGCTGCTATCTCGGATCAATTGCCATTGTTGTTCATGCTAATAAAAGGACATATACTAAAAATATGTAAACATTTGATTCTTCTCGCAGCATGAACATTAATCTTTTGCATCAAATAAATATTAAAACTAAGAAATAGCCTGAGCTGAAAAGAGGTGCAGTGACTGAGAGCTTCTCGATAGAAAGGGGATGCAAGGCTTGAGAGAAGAGATATAATTTGATTTTATAACGAAAGCAGTAGTTATTATCGCTCAGAATGTGTTCTGAATGTAGTGACTATAGAACAAAAAACCTACTTATTTTCTGCCACAATCGTGACAGTAATCACCAACAATAACTGGCTTACTTTGGAACAAAGAACTTTTTCGAGGGTTTTGTTTGACGTGCCGTTGCAATGAGAAAATAGAGATTAGTTTCGAGTTCGTCACTGACGTCATTAGACTGAATTAATAGATAATAGCAAATTTGCAGGAGTCGACACATTAATTAATTATTTTCATTTTATTGAAAATTAAGTACTGCGCACACTAGTAGCAGAATAGTTGTGGTTTATTAGATATCTACCAATTTAGTTCTTCTTAATGAAAGCTTTTATTAGTTTCATTAATTGTCATAATTGTGCTTTTATTGAAATATTTTGATTGCAGACAATTCTAATGGTTTGGTCAGCTTTTGTTCAACGTGTAACCATTACTGCAGCTCTCATCGGGATGCTTGGAGGGATTGGTTTAGGCAAGTAACTATTAGTTTATACAATATTTAGCATTTACAAAGGAAGCAGTACTTTTTCATAATTATAAACGTTAATTGTCTGTCAGTAAATGTAGTTTAAATATGTTCTCGTCAGTAGTGAGTACAGTTATTGAAATGTCTAGCAAAATTTAGCCTGTATCTTCTCTAACTTTCGACAGTTTGTATTTTTAACAGAATAAGCATTGAGGACAGCCTCACTTTTCATCGTTCATAATTATTGAGGTCAGTCTATTTTTATAATTAATGAATATTAAAAAAAAACTTTTTTATGGTTTCGTAATTGACTTGAGTCTCTACGCTTACATCAATATCAGATGTCAGTTAATTTGTTGTTATTTTTTCGCACACTGCAAAGTCGTCGTGTTGTAAGTATTCGTTGTGTCCTTAAAAACTTCAGTTGTGTTTGGTGTTTATTAATATTTTCACGGCTTATTTTATGCACATGCGTGATATTGTGCAAATCTTTTTTACGACAATTTCAACTTATGTATTAACATGCAAACTATTGGCTGTTTTTAGGTGCACATAAGCTGAAGCAGTCAAGTGATTCATTGCGTTTGCGTGCGGTATACAGGAGAAAGCAAGAAATGGATGATTTTATTCATTGCAAGGAGGAAAGCATAAAACGAGCGTCTCCTCCCTAATTGTACAAATAATTGAATCATCACATTTTCTTAGTATTATACGCAAAAAAATAAACAGTTATTATTGCTTGTGTACTTGAGAAAATTTTCACACTTGAGATTTTGACTTTGATCTTCATTTTCCGATTATGAATACGTAGTACTTGTATTTACTGTCAGTAGTGTATTAGAAATTATATCAGTTAATATCAACTGTGTACAGCGTGTAAGCAATGAAAACAATGAAATTAGCATGTAGCACAAGATTCTCTCTTATCAATTGCACGTGGAATTGCTGTCAGTATGTTGCTCGGATTATACATGAAAAAAAGAAGTAGTGGAAGAAGTTGCTTTCATAGTATTTAATGAAAGATAGTTGATCAAACTGCAAATGAATATGTCTACGGGTAAGATAGCCTAGATCGTGAGATATATTTATATTATTAGGAAGAATAGGTATTCATATTTTTGATTAGTTGTTAAGGTAGCAAGAGCTATTTTTGTGATGTAAGAAAGTATTGGAAGAACAATTGGGTGAAATAATTTGCATTTCATTTCCAGAGGTTCTTTCCAGGTTTCTAAACAAATCAATGCATAATGTACTTCTGCTGATGGGTTATTTATTTCTGCTTTTACTTCTTGAATAGAATGGTGAAAGACAGATTATTGCTAGTAATGTTTGGGAATGTCGAATTCTACAACGCTTTGATATGATTATTAGTTAGGTGCTTATTATATCTGATTTATACTATACTGGTAAATTGTACACGTGTGTAGTTGCTAGAAGAGTTTGCCTTCGATCAATTATTATTTGATGTAATAACTGAATATTTATTTGACTGTTAGCATAGCAAAGAGTATTTTTGCTTTAATAAAATAAAATTAAACATTATAACAATAGAAAATACATTACAGTACGGTCATATATTTGATTCATAAGTATTCTTCTTAAAGAACTGTAAACATACAAAAGTTGTAAATAGCTTAGCCATGCAGAGAAAGTGGAAAGTACATTGTACTTTTGTTTAAAACGAAGAAATCTTATGCTTACTCAATATCAACACCATTATTGTCATTATCATTGTTACTCTTGTGATGGATATTATTATCACTCATGATCATATTGATATTACTATTATTACTGATAAGAGAGCAAGTCAAAAACTGTAAAAACATGCATTCCAACTACTGCTGCTATCAGTTTTTATCATTTAAAATTAAAATCTTTGCTTGTTTGTTTGTATTTTCCGCTTCCAAAACGCATCTTTCGCTTCATTCCAAATTCACTTATTTAGGAATAAAATTATAAGTATTGAAATTTAATCTTTTGATATAAAGTTTCACGTTTTGAACTCAGTTTTACCAATAAATGTGTTATTAATTCTGACTAAAAAAATAATTAGTGATGAAAAATTAAGTAACAGATTTAATTCTGTTTCATTATATAGACTGAGTACAAAATTAACACAAAGGGAGTTTGCTTGATTGAAGTTTTGATGCCATTTCAGAGTATAATCTATCAAGCAGAAATTCAGAAGTAAAAAGTAGATATGGAATCAGAGGTAATAGTGAAGATTTTCTTTTCAACTTTTCGCCAGACCGAGATGAATTATAGCAGTCAATAATGCATACTTAAAATATACTTTTTTTTAAAGTTAATTAAGTTATTGGAAGAATGTTATATGTATATACATGTTAAAGATGGTCTCTGACTGCTATTGCAAATGTGGAATTCAGTGTGATCCACGACGTGAAGACGAACTAGAAGTGGGAAAAAAGTTGTGGAATGACGTGTCTTCCTCGTAAGATAACTTTTGTTTTTAATGCAAAAAAGAAATATGTAAGTAGTCAAATGCAAATTTCAACTTATCAGAAGGCATTCTTAATAAATTTATGAGCAATTCGGAACTGGAAATGTTATCCATAAGTAAGTGCAAAAAATGATCTGAAATGTTCAGAATATTGACGAAAGAAATAAACTACTAATTGCTTTCATTTGTATTCTACATAAATTCTTTGAGCGAAAAACATTTGTTTATTTTCGATTAGAATAAAAAACAAAAGAAATTAAAGTAACGTTGATTGCGCCGAGAAAAGAATGCGCATGCGCAGCGGGGCGCAGTTTCTCCCTCTCATCTCCTTTTTTCGACACTTTGACTTTTGACATCTTTTCTTGTTTTATGCTAAATGAACTTTCTTTTTCACAAACTATTTCTTTCATTTCCAAAAGTTTTAAGTTTAAAAGTTGTTATTTCTTGAATGCAAACAAACAACAAGAAATTCTTCAGAGAAATGTATGAATCTCTACCACTGAATAAAAAATAGTAGCTAATAAAACGGTATTTCTTACGTCGTTTGATAATATTTATCAAGTTAAACAGTGTTCTGGAAAGATAAAAAGTGTTCTCTTGCTGCTTCAAGCATCGCTTAAAATTTATAGCGTTGTCATGAGTAACTTTTGTGCATTTTCCAGAATATCCAAGTATGATGACGTGAATGTAACGCAAAAGAATTACAAAACTGTGACAGCCTCAACTATGAACAGTGCGAGTAGATGGATCGCAAAAGAATCAGACAAAACTCAGTCTATGGCAAATATACCGATGAAACACAAGGAGTGCAAATCTAATTTCAGTAATTTCAGCATCACTGATTCAAGCGTGCATCAGATAGGACAGTCTTATCAGTGGCAAATACAACCAGAGCCAACACTGCAGTCTACAGAAATGATTGAATTGCATGGGAAAGCAATCCTGACAGATAGATGGCCAGAAGAATCTGTTCATACTGGTATCTTCTATTTTTGCAGTAACATATATATATATATAT